ACAAGACTTTATACAACTACTAATGAGTGCGGCGTTAAACAACAGACAAAACAACCAGTTCAACAATAAAACATAGAAACAAGACTTTACACAACCACGTTAACAATAAAACATAGAAACAAGACTTTACACAACCACGTTAACAATAAAACATAGAAACAAGACTTTACACAATAATTCAATCTAAAAAACGTAGAAACAAGAATTCATACAACCACTATAGCTAAAAAAAAACGTTAAAAAACGCTTTACACACTTAGCTAAGACATACAAATAAGACTCTTTTCAGATATAGATTGTGTACAAGATTGTGTTATACAAGAGGTAAAGCCCAGAAGAGCTACTGATTGCAGTGCTACACACAATTACTAAATCCACTAAACATGGATCTAACACTGAATATATTCACCGTAACAACCTCACCCGAAGGTACATGTAATACACGCGCTCTTAAAATATAAACGAGTGTGCCTTCGGACGATGGTTCTCGCGGACCGCGTAGCTTGTGAATGAAAGGGTATATTGTATTGAACTGTATACAGAGTTATTCCCCTTTAGTTAAAGCGGGAATATGCGACCTTACACACCGCTTTCGTGGATGTGTGGGCTTATGTCTAACACTCAACTCTGTGTGTTTCCACTATGTCCTTTTGACCTTTCAGAGATTGTTTCCAGATACATGTTTTTGTCATAGGGGATCTTAAGAGGCTCTAAAAAAGCACGCCGTGTCTTTTACTGTTAATGTTGGCATATTCGTCTTTGTAATGTCACAGTAACATACTACTTCATGAGTATGCTACAGCTGGGGGTGCGAGTAGGGGTGGGAGTAGGGGGTGGGAGTAGGGGTGGGAGTAGGGGGTGGGAAAGAGGGGCTGGGAGTAGGGGGTGGGAGTAGGGTCGGGAGTAGGGGGTGGGAGTAGGGTCGGGAGTAGGGGGTGGGAGTAGAGGTGGGAGTAGGGGGTGGGAGTAGGGGCTGGGAGTAGGGGTGGGAGTAGGAGTGGGAGTAGGGGTGGGAGTAGGGGGTGGGAAAGAGCGGTTAGGAGTAGGGGGTGGGAGTAGGGTCGGGAGTAGGGGGTGGGAGTAGGGGTGGGAATAGGGGGTGGGAGTAGGGGCTTGGGCGGAACCAAGCACTGGGAAAGATGTATATTACTCTGGAGACAAATGGATCTGTCAATGCAATACTATTTAATATGTATGGAAAAAACAATTTTTCACTATTGTACCGTGAATGAATTTATACACGCGGGCAAATATGCATTTGAAGTAAATTACATCAGGTATATTGATTGTGCAAAAGTGTATTTGTTGTGTTGGGAAAGATTCAACTTTTAGCTTCATATGACCGGAAGGTCTATGTCGAACTAATACACAATCATCCTTGTGATGCCAGTCTTGTATATTGTCTCATATTCCCATGTGACCCCATCGAATCATTAACTGGTTGTTTTGCACCCTTCCAAATTAGTTTCTCTAAATATCAAAGACAAACACCACTTACAGAAACAGAGTGAGTATTTATTTATCTTTATCAACATTTTTTATTCCTGTGCATGCGTATAAGGCTAAAGTGAGTGCGTTTGGTTTATGCGGTTTTATATATATATACATATATTTATCACTGTATGTCAGTTTTGTTGTGGTTGGAAAGCCCAAATTGACGCAGCGAGTTGCGATGTTTTATACCACCGCTAGAGTGAAAAGAAAGGAAAGAAACGCGTGAAAACACGGATATACACTGGAAGAAACTGTTCCACATAAACACGTACAGATACGGATTTACACTGGAAGAAACTGTTCCACATAAACACGTACAGATACGGATATACACTGGAAGAAACTGTTCCACATAAACACGTACAGATACGGATATACACTGGAAGAAAGTGTTCCACATAAACACGTACAGATACGGATTTACACTGGAAGAAACTGTTCCACATAAACACGTACAGATACGGATATACACTGGAAGAAACTGTTCCACATAAACACGTACAGATACGGATATACACTGGAAGAAAGTGTTCCACATAAACACGTACAGATACGGATATACACTGGAAGAAACTGTTCCACATAAACACGTACAGATACGGATATACACTGGAAGAAAGTGTTCCACATAAACACGTACAGATACGGATATACACTGGAAGAACATGTTCCACATAAACACGTACAGATACGGATAGACATCGGAAGAAACTGTTCCACATAAACACGTACAGATACGGATAAACATCAGAAGAAACTGTTCCACATAAACACGTACAGATACGGATAAAAATCGGAAGAAACTGTTCCACATAAACACGTACAGATACGGATAGACATCGGAAAAACTGTTCCACATAAACACGTACAGATACGGATATACTCTGGGAGAAACTGTTCCACATAAACACGTACAGATACGGTGAGACATCGGAAGAAAGTGTTCCACATAAACACGTACAGATACGGATAAACATCGGAATAAACTGTTCCACATAAACACGTACATAAACGGATAATGATTGGAAGAAACTGTTCCACATAAACACGTACAGATACGGATATACATTTAAAGGAATAGTTCAATATACATGTTTGAAGATATGGAGTGTGTGAGTGACAATGGTTCTACGCCGCTTTTAGCAATACTCCAGCAATATCACGGCACGGGACACCAGAAATGGGCTTCACACATTGTACCCATGTCGGGAATCGAACCCGGGTCTTGGCATGACGAGCGAACGCTTTAACCACTAGGCTACCCGACCGCCCCTGCAGATACGGATATACATTGGATGGAACTGTTCCACATAAACCTGTGCCCTGGCACAAATTTTACCAACAAGACCGGCGAGTTATTTGTTTCTCTCTGGCTGGATTCTTTTTCTTTTTAATTATTTTGAACACCTTTTCAAACTGTTTCCAAATGCACCTTCTCGTATGTTTGCGGGAACAGAAGAAACAGAACATTCCAGTTTTATCACCAAAGACAGCGTTGACGTTATAAGTCAATATTTTGTCAACGCAGTACTGCGCACTTAATTAAAAAAACACAGCAATCAATCATGGCACAAACTGGTCCCACGTGGAGGTGTGCGGTGATGCAACTCCCATTGTCAACACTAGAAACACCCCCATGTCGTCACCGCATACAGCTGAGCTCTTTTGTACACATCCAATTAACGCCGTGAGATTCACGTCAACGCTGCTGAGTTATATAATGAAGCTATTCCAACTGTGTACAGGGCTCAGTTCTCACTGTTGTAGCATGTTGATGTCAATGAGTTCACGAGACAGCTGCCATGATGAGGTGAGTTGTATTGAATTTGTGCTGTGATTAAATCTACATATATGTCAACAAAAGAAAGATGCTAAAAATTTAGGATCCGTGTTATTGAATTCATACTAATTATGAATGATGATATTAACTAAAGAACCTAAGTTAGGAAGATACCGTAAAATACCTTCAATGCCTGCTGGTATCCATTCTCGTATCTGTTTTAAATACAGTAGATAACATGGATGACATTCTTTGTCGTGGATGTCAATTCACAGTTGGTTCTGGAACAAAACCTATCACTTCAAAGTCTTGGGAAAGGGCTTATTTGACGTTATGGATGGGGTAAATATTTTATCTTTGTTGGCAGGTGTGTCATTTGACCTTCTATGATAAATGTGGTCCCTAACACTGGCATGTGATCAAAAAGCCCCTTCACTTGAAAGACTTCCTTGAAAGACTTTGCAATGCCTAGCCTCAGTCGTAATGTTTCGAAAAGAATACAAATTCCATGTTTCTTAACAATTATTCTATTACCCATCAATACAACACTGATGCAATACTGTGGTAACAATCAATTTGGCCTGGAGGAAACAAGTACCCCGACGTCGGGGATATAACGCTAAATATTAGTGACCTAAAAGTCTCCATAATCATAAGGCATCTCTACTAAGGGAACGTCTGTGGAACGATTCCGGCTGTATCATCAGTATGTTTTTTGTGAATCACAATTATAAATAGTGCTGATACCAGGTGTTCGCGAAAAGCTGAGCGTATCCTGTCCCACCGATTGCACACGTCACAAACACACGGAAAGGCAAGTCAATTTTTCACCTGAAAAAAAACACACCGGAACATATGGTACAAGTCAAAATATGGAATTGCATCAGGCATAATAATGTTTGTCACTTACGCGTCAAATTTGAAAATGTCCTCCATAAAAAGTGTTGAAAGCTTTGCTGATGTCTGAATGTTGTAGCGCCGCAATGCGCTGTGCAGAATTGCGTCTCTTGGGCATCGTAGAAACCTATGATTGTGGGTTCGAATCCCGGTTCGCCCCGATTATGTTTCTAGGTTTGTCAGCACCATACCCGTGCTCGTGGGTTTCACCGAAGTGGTAAACATCTGAGACCTGTATCACTTGGGGCTTTCCTCCCACATTAAGCTGACACGCCGTGATATGACTGGAATACTGTTAAAAGCGGCGTTAAACACAACTCACTCATCCTGAATGTTGTAACCTTAATCAAACAACTTTTGGTGTGCGTTTTCGTGAGCAAGGATTTTCAAGATGTAGATTCGTTCTGTATAAAGGCAGTCGGAGATGTCAAGTCCGACATGGATCATGTAAACCAGTGATCGATAGTATAAGCATCGACCGGGGCCATAAGAATACGAGATCATACTTATACAAGTTACAAAACCGAATCTCTGCATACAGTCCTCCTTCCACGCTGGTAGACATTTTATTCATCAGATCCCCGTTTAAGTCGCCAATTACAAAAATCACGCAGGAGTTGTGATGCCACTACAACGTGTTTTCATCATTGATGATGTAAACTAGAGGGATCACTGTGAACAACAACAAACTACCTTTTGAGGTACTAATTATTGGTGCTATTGGTACTATCAGGGAGAAGGCGGTAATAAGTGTCGCACTTGTGCCCAATCCCTTTGTCTTTTTGGAAAATAAAATATGTTTAATAATAATTAATTGTGTAAGACTAAAGACTGTTCAATGAATTTTGTATTTAATGAACGGAAGCGTTTTGACAACGATTGGTACAAAACCAAGACACAATTGAACCAGCAATGGTAGAACAGTCATATATCGCCCACTGGAAGGGTAGAGTCATGTTTTCTCGTTTCACAAAGCAGTTGGAACGTTGGTCACTTTCAATCACTGACCGCTGACCAATGTTGGATAATCAACGAAGCCTTCCCTGTGGTGACAATCGCTTGCGCCTTTGAGTGTCTGTTTGTTTTTTGATTGGTAAAAATGAATTCATTAATGAAAATGATATATTCTCGATAAATACAATACATACATAGATTACACTTTGTCACGTTCATTCGAGGTTACATATCACATTATGTAAAGGGGATTAATATCATTTTGATTTGAAATTGCATATGATCTATGTACAGTTCAACATTCAATGCTATGGTTCCTGTAGTTAGGGATTAAGTGCTCAGAAACGTCGCTCGATGTCCTTCAATAACGCCATATAATCTCACCATTAGACTAATTTGATGGACTATTTGATGGACTTTTGATATTTGCGTACTTTGAACATACAGAAACACAAGGGATTTATGAAATGAATTGATTGAAATCCCTATTTTATGAATTATAATGTGAAGGGACATTTTCACGGTATCTGATGGTTTTGTTATGAAAATATGACTTAATATAAACATATATGAAATAAATCCAGATGGCGTTTAGAGGTACACACATAAACAGTTATGTGGTAGGTATCACCAAGTGTCAACACCCACAAATTTTCTTTCTCCCAGTGATGAACACAACATTTGTGGTTAAACTGGTCATTTCACCAATGTCCTGAGCAAGAACATGCGTCGTGTGGTTCCCAGTGATATTGCCTAACTGCGCTATTATTTTCATGTCCTGAGTTTTATTGTCCTCTGATTCAAATCATAGCAGAAACGGCATTCTCCCTTTGGTCCTTTTCATGCTCTTTTCTCTAAAGTATTTGATGATTGGGTTATTTAGGCCTAACCCGTCCATTTCGGAATCTTTGAGACGAGAGAATTTCTTGCCGTCGAGACCTTTCCGATGCATGTGGTTGATGAGCCTGTCTTCGACGCGCATGTACCGGAAGAAGGTGGCCATCTCGTCGGCGGTGAAGTTGTGGAGGCAGCCGTCGTTTGGTATCGTGATGTCTTCCTCTGGTATTGAATCCACAGGAGCTGAAAGACATATTGATAATTTACAACTGTGCCCATTACGTTGTACTTGTTAACTTTATTGTTGATCTTATTGCAGAAATTCTGCGACCTTTCGTAGATCTATACTGATTAGTATGATACACTAGGCATCTACCTCATTAAGTGGGGAACGGGTTGGACAGGCGTCTAAAGCGCCGCAATTCGCTGTGCAGAGTTGCGTCCCTTGGGCGCGCCATAAATCCTTGATTGCGGATTCGAATCCCGGTTCGCCCTGATTATGTTTCTAGGTTCGTCAGCACCATACCCGTGCTCGAGGGTGTCACCAAAGTGGTAAACGTCTGAGACCTGCTTAACTTCGGGCTATCCTCACACATTAAGCTGACACGCCGTAGTGTAACTGAAATACTGATCAAAGCGGCCCTAAACATAACACACTCACTTATTAAGTAGGTACAAGGAATGAGGTTTATTTAACCCCAAAATATCTTATCCCGAGATTAGCTTTTGCAAACCCGGATCTCTTGCCTGATATTCTACATTACACTACTGACCCTGGATTCGAACCCACTGATATAGATTTCTGTCAAGCCCAAGGGAAGGAACGATTCAAACAATTACAACTCTTGGGATAATGTTAAAGAAACCTGACCTTTTGAATGTGTCATTTAGTTTCGTGGAGTAATTTTAGATATTAGCTCTCATTTCAAATGGAGGATGATGATTGTAGGCAACCGGAACTCAATAACCCGATGCAACAATGCATGGAAACGTATTGTTTAACACCACGTTGCCATGGAAACTCACATGTTATAATGGAAGGCACACTTGGAGCAGGTTTCTTCATCTTGCCGGTGATGATGGGGTCCTTCGGTGGAATCCGTGGAGCCGACCCGTTGGTGTTGATTCTGAAAGCAGACATAGCTGTTGTTAAGTATTTGCACGACCGTCTACTGGGTACCAAGATGTGTAATGTTTTAACCAATATGGTCATGCATATTCTGACCGTGTCCTGGTGGCTCTGCTAGTGTGACAATAAACAACTGTAAATGTCACTTATAGCTGGCATGGTCACAAAAAGATCGTGTCGTGCCTACTGTTTTACTGAATACATTGTTGGCAAATCATAACTCATCCGTGGAAGTCTGGGGCAAAATATGTCCCCAGCAACTATACTTGTTGTAAGGGGCGACTTTAAGGGGAATTGGGTGGTCACAGTGTAACGCCTGCCTGAATGTGTCATCGTCTTACAGTGTGAATCGTTTATCATGTTTAATTTGTCATGATTATAAATATTCCACGTATATAAAACTTGAATATTGCTGACTGAGGGTAAAGTAATATTCACAAAACATAAGGTACTGACAACCATTAAAACATTAGACAGTTTCGTGCGACAGCGAACAAAGTGCTTTGGAAATTGGCAGTAAGTTCCCTCTTTTGGAGGTTCATAGAAAACTATGTTTTACGAATCCCTCCCAGGCGAAGGCATTTCAGTCGTGATGTTTATGTTTTATAACAGCCCTGGGGCTACGGGGACTATGAATACCATCCATTTCACACGTCTCTGCACATCTATATTAATATTTTTATCAAGTGTAGAGACAAACATGCGGGGTAATGAATAGCTGAACCTTTTTTAAGAAAACATTAGCATGCCACCATGATGTTCCTTAACCTAGATTTATCAAGTTGGCGATTCAAGTAGTTTAAAACCCCTTTACATAGGCGGTGAAACTGGGTCAAGTCATTCTGCTCGTACATAGACACTATATACTTCATCTATTGTGACAGTCATGCCCGTGCTCTTCTATTTCATGGAGATTCGGGACTGCAGTAGATATTCAAGGGGAAATTACAGGTTAAACTTTATCATTTTTGCAGATGTATTGTGTTTCGCCACGCCTGTTTTCAAACGAAGTTGAAATACTTGAAATACCTTGGTAGTTATGTTAATATATTATACAAAGACAATTACTGAGCGTGATAGGGCTCTGACATTTTTATGTAGGTAATAACAAAAGCAAATAAAGAGGAAGATTATCGCCATGTACAGAGCTGACATGGGTTAGTTCTTTTTTGTGTATGCGTAGGCGTTTGAAGCTGCGATACCTATTGTGTTCAACATATGTCCTGACAATGCAAATATGTGACCTGGGTATGCAAAAACATCAGCTAATATTAAAAATATGCGCCTTCAGGTAATCTGAAAATATTGTTCTTGGAGACCCTATTAATCTTCATCCTGCGTTAAAATAACACAAGCGGTGGGGCAGACATGTGTATGATGACAAGCTTGACAGGTGCACTATTATGTAGTATTCATAAACAAATAGAGTGTTAATAATATCATTGGGAATTACTAGTCAGTAGTATATCGATGTTTAACACGTATATATGTCTTTCATCCTGTTGTTTGTAAAAACAATAAAACGTCATCACCAGAGAACAACCAGCCCCGTCCATCCAACGAAACAGATTCCCCTGGAGTAAACGGCAAAAATGCTTTGAAAACCGTATGAATGGATCGCTGGAAACAGCGATGACAACAGGTTCTCGCGAAAAGGATAAGCATGCCCTGCCCTACCGGTAGTTATCTCAGTATCGAAAGTAAGCCGTATCCGTGTTCTATATTCACATCGCTCACCTATTCGCGAACACCTGTTATCATCACACTATTTGATAGTGAATCACAAACATATAGTCGCAATCGTATAATGAAGAGGTTTGTGGGTTGTATTGCCCTCTTATCAGTGAACAGCGAACAAAGACCATTGCATGGCACTTTCTTGTCTGCACATGCACCAGCACTCGATGGAGACATATTAAAGAAATTCCCCAACACCCAACCCTCATGTCACTCCATACCAATACATCATACCGATATCTCATACAAACTACCAAAACTACTAGGAATTACACATATGTTCCAGATCATTATGCGTGGGTATTATTCAGATGAAGAAGAATTACAAAACCAGAACATCATACACAAGCGATACGTATCGTACCTAACCAGTTCTCTCATCAAGGCAATACCATAGACCTGCTCGTGGGTTTCACCAAAATAATTGTCTATCATTTTGCTGACAGGCCCTGATATAACTGAAATACAATTTAAAGATGTTTTAACTCATTAAACTGGTCATAGCAGTAGAATAAAATAAGCTTCTTTTCATAAAGCGACACAACCCTTTCAATATTCATAAGAAATATCTACTATTAGCAGGGTCGACTACTAGTATATAATGAGCATGATAAGCCATGATAAACCAACCCAAAGATGTATTTTCATGGACTTTTAAGTATCCTGATGATTAAACAGCCCATGTCATGCACCAATAACGGATGAAGGCCCAACAGATCACATAGTCTGTGGACTCGGAGGAACAGGTTCCCTTCAACAATGTCATCCATAGATTGCCACCAAGTTAACCATTGTATCATAGACTGTTGTCGGTTGACCAAAACATCACATAAGATTACATAATCCATGTATTAGCCGATAAATACGTCGGTGAACCCCGTTAAGCTACGTTACAATTACTTAAACATTCACAGTTGTATACACTTTGGAATGAATCCTTTAGCATTTGTATGAGAATTAGTTTCTCCCTTTAATACTATATTCAAATAAATTGTAATGACGCTGTCTGGTTGAATTCTTTCTAAGGATCACCCCTCATTGAAACGTTAATTGTTGTAATGTTGTTGGAAAGACAGGAATTGCTCTTGTTCACACGTCGTATAGGACATGATGACCAGTTGTCAGTATAGACGTAAGGTGCTCATCCAACTCCAGTGTCAAATACATACCATTTCCCGTCGTGATGAACGTGTCAGTAAAATAAATGAGTCTGAGTTTTAACAAGGATAGGTCAGGTGCATGTAGAGGGGGATATTCAAGCTGACGTCAACACGACCTGTTCCCATTAATATACGTTCTTGCAAATCTCTTGCTAATCCACGTCGTCATGTCCGGTTTATAAGCACTAATATAGGCACACCGACATTATATTATTGACGATTTCGCTCATTATGACGTTGGAATGAACATGTTTGAAACCCATCTCTCTGTATGCTTCAAATGTGAAAGTAGGTATGTGCATCTGCCATACTGCTACTGTAAGAAAATATTTCCCCGCATCACACTTATTTCCGCTATTTGCGATGACATCTCTTTGGGAGTGGTAGCCTAGTTGTTACAGTGATGACTCGTCATGCTGACTACCCCACATGGGTGTATTGTGTGAGGCACATTCTTGGTGCCCTTAAAATGGCATGACTGGGTTATGGCTAAAGCACTCACACATGTACTGTTACTGTAAACAAAGCTACACTACCTAGTTCCCATGTAGTGTAGTTGCAGTGAGGGGTGTGTACACATGTAGCTGTATTCAAATAAATCCGGAAAAGGAATCAACTCTTAGTTGAAAACATCACTGCACACCATCACGTCAAGGTGTCACCCTTGATACAACGTCCCGAGAACCATATAGTTCTCTGCTTGTCACATGAAAAGGAATTGACATTATCTATAATCTAAAACCGTGTAGATAAAAAGCACTGTTGATATCCACATGTTCTCAAGCACATACGGATAAAAGGCGTTCATTGAAAGGACACCATAAATGCCGGCTTCATAGGTTGAATACATATCAATAGGTATAGAGCCATACATCAGAACTATTATAAATAGGTTGTGATAAGGGGTTCTACATCAGAGCAGCGCACAAAAAACCTCTCCGGGTCACTAAGCATGCATTATGGACTATGTTTGAAGGTCTCATTCAAAACCAGTTTTGTCAGAAAAATATCTCAGATGAAATATCACTTTGAAATGTTTTTTCCCGAGAAACATATTCATATCGTTGCCTATCTACTTATAAATGAAAGCATGGATTGCTCTGGGTTGTCTGAAGTTGCCGTCAAGTGTTAAATCATAACCGAATTTTATGCTACTTTGGTTCCATGTCAAAGGTTAATCTAAGTATAGATCTATGTGGCAGCTAAACATCTTATTACTACGCCATGTGTACAAATAAGAACATGCTTCTTAGTATACGACGATAGAACCGGCTCAGATTAAGGATAAATCATATACCGATTTGATTAAGTGACACATAAGCTGATGACGTGTCCTCCATAAGTAATAAACATTTCTACATCTGACTGGAAGCTGCCCAACATAGTCTAACCCAAATTGTGTACAATACATATGATACATGAAGTAACGACAATAGCTTAAAACTGTGAGGATAATTCCTGTAGTCACAGAATAAATGACAGGATTGTAGGTGTAACCATCGTCATGTTATGGATGAATGTGGCGACATGACTAGGAACGTGAATACCAATGCTGTCCATATCTCATGACAAAAGATGTAGAGCCAATACAAGATAGGCCTCAGTCGAAGAAGTACAACACAGCGAAGGTAAAAGCAGCCTTACATCGACACCTAATATCTGGTATAAGGTATAAGCCTGTCGTCTCACCTCAGGTCGTCCATACTTCTGCTGTTAGCGTGGAAAGGAACATACTTTCTGGATCGTATCGCTTCATAGCTACTCTCTGCCCGTCTCATTCCTGTTAATCCACGATGACCAGATACTGTACGTTTGGGTCCATTTATAAAGACAACTTTTCCAGATTCGGAATGAACAACTCGCAACAAAGTAATTCCACCGCTCATATTGTCGTCTGCTCGAGAGGTGTAAGCAGACGAGAAGAGCAGACGTATGAGCCGGGGCTGTACCGCTTACCGATGAACCCTGGTAGGGTCTAGTAGGCACGAGGGTAAAAACCCAGCTGACCAGAACTGTTCTTTGTTCCCTGAGCAAATACAATCTCATCCAGGGTCTAGAATAACACTCCAGTTGACATCAGCGGGTGTTGGTGTCGGTGGAT